GACTGGTTATGTTCACTCATTTCACTCAAATTATGTTCACGAGTGGGTTTAGATTCTCCTCCTAAACGCATTATTGGCAACTGGACTGATGTGTCCAAGCGGCCCAAAATAGGAGGGGCATAGTACACTGACACTTCATTTGTTTCAGTACCATTATCACCACCATGCATCTCCTCCACCTCGCTAAAATCAATCATGTCCATAAAATCTATCCCAACACCACCTCCCACATCAGCGACATTTGTATTATTTCGAGTTACTTTATTGCTTTCAACAATGGCAACTGAAGAATGACCCATCCGACTACTATTTGTCGTCATATGCATACTATCAACTACATCATTTGTCAGTCCTTTATCTTCTATACTCACGAGTAAGGGAGCTAGTTTTGAAGGTGTTACCACTGCAACACAACCACAATAACCAGGCAATACAACAACAATACAACAACAATATAACAGCACTAGAACAACACTAACACAGCACTGAACAAGGATTCATCACAATCATACTACACAAATCTACTACATCAAATGGAAAATCCCAAGTTTCAAGATTCACATATCCAGAGCAATCTAAATGCATTTGGTTAAAACCCAGATCAATGACCATGAAGATTCAAAAAACATTACCCAAAGCAATTAAAATAAAACCAATTTCACAGCAACCCAAGCAATCAAAATTAAACCAATTTCACATAATTTCACAGAGACTAAGAAAATGACCATCAAGAATACCTATTGGAGGTCAGCAATGGAGTAGAGCTTCAAGGTTGCAAGCAGTTGCGACCTTACGTTATTCAAAAGACTTACCTAGAAGATGGGGTCGATGGGGGGTTTCCAGATTCACAACAGAGAGATGGGGACAATTCAAAACATATACAACTGCACGCGAGAGAGAGAGAGAGAGAGAGAGAGAGAGAGAGAGAACGAATAGAGAGTGAGAGAGAACCAAATTTCGAAAAAAGTGTTATGTGGACAATAAATATATATCTATAGGTGGTATTTGCAAAATTTTTGGGGAGGCTTGGTATTTGCAAAAAATTGGTGGCATTTTGGGCTATTTCCCTAAATATAAATATGCATGCTTGAATTTTGTACGAATATAGTAGGCTAGTTGTTTAAGTTTTCTAAATATTTTTACAGAGGGGTTAGTATGTTCATATGCTATTTTCGAAAATTTTGTTTTTGGTCCACTCACATTTTTTAAATGTTTTGTGCCCCTAGGCAGTAGATGTGCACCTGAAGGCCACCACAGGGCTGTTTCCGCTTCCTGCACTTCCCCTTCTTGATGTAGGATTTCTTTTGTAAACAAACTGTATTTTATTTGAATTTCTAAGTTAGTTGCTCTGATAAATTGCCCTAGGATTAAATTTAACTGTTGGAATGTAAAAATATATGCATGTTGGCCGTTGGATTATAAATATATGCTTATTTGACAGGTGGAATTTTGGGAAATGTTCAATTGACAGGAGAGACTCTGCCAAATTTTCGGCAGAAGTCAAACATGAAATAAATTGAATTTTGAATAGAAGGGCAAATAGGTCATTTGTGCCTGGCACCCACCAGGTGTGGGACACACAAGGTTTGGCTCAGATTCCAAAGTGGAATTTGGATCGGGTCCTGTCACTTTACATTTGTGCTTAAGGTCTACGTTAGACTTAGGGATTAGCTCAAGATCCATCAACCTTTTGATTTTGCCTAACCTTTCATGCCATACATTACAAGACTCAACATTAAAAACATGAGGGGAAATTTTATTATCTTCAAAAACTACATTTATTTTGAACAATCCATCGCAAACATATCCTTTTCCAATAAAGACATTGTTTCTAGTAATAACAATCCTATTCCACTCCATTACAATTTTGTATCCTTGTTGTACTAAAGACGATTCACTAATAAGGTTTCTCCACATGTCAGGAACATGTCACACATCCTTGAGAGTTAGAACCTTCCTAGTTGTCATCATCAATTCCCCTTCTCCTATTCCACATACTTGTGCGACGGTGTCATTACACTTCCTCCACTTGAGTTCTGATAATTTTTTTAAAATCGTTTGTCAAAACACACATGCACATTTGCCCCAGAATCTAACCCCCAATTGCCAATAATGCGTTTATGAGGAGAATCTGAACCCACCCGTGCACATTATTTGAGTCAAATGGGTGAACAGAACCAGTACAATGTGGCTGGTGTAAATGATGGAGAAGCATATTTGGACAAAGGGTAATCGCGTTGTGATTGGAATCCGAAAATTCAAGTTGGGCAAATTTACTCTACTAAGGGAGCATTGTCGATCGAGTTACGGTTGACGGCATTGAGAGGCCACTTTCAATTTAAGGTGCAATTCTCTTGCACTAAGAGGTTGCTTGTGGTTTGTTGTCAACGTCCATGCCCACGGCAGGTCTGAGCAAAGAGAATTGGAGAATACAACTTCATTATTGTGAGGTGTACAGCTGTCCATGAATGTGATTTGAGGTTCGTAAATGACAACCATCGTCAAGCAACCGCAGCACTTGTAGCCACTTCATTTAAAAGGAAGTTGAAGGATTCTCGGACAATATACACACCAAGTGACATAATGAGAGATGTGAAACACAATTTTGGTTTGACCATCCATTATTCGAAAGCTTGGAAAGCAAGGGAGTTAGCTCTATGGTCCATTAGAGGATCGGCCGAGGAGGCTTATTATATCATTCCAGCCTATTGCTATGAATTGGAGCGTATGAATCCCAGCACAAAGACACACATCCAAACTGATGAGAACAATCACTTTGTGTATTTATTTATGGCAGTTGGCGCATGTATTAAAGGGTTTCGTTCTTCCATGCGCCCAGTGATAGCTGTGGATGCCTCTCATTTAAAATGTAAGTACAAGGGTGTTATGTTTGTAGCAAATGCATTCGATTGTAATCGAAATATATATCCTCTTGCTTTTGAGATCGGGGATTTGGAGACGGATGCATCATGGCATTGGTTTTTCACTAAACTTCATGAAGCTAGTGGTGAGTGTCCCAATCTTGTTATCATTTCTGATCGCAATGTTAGTATAGAGAATGTGTGGAACAAAGTTTTTCCAACAGCACAACATGGCATATGCTTTTATCATATGAAGGGGAACATGAAACGCACTTGCAAGTTGAAAACGCGTGATCAAATACTGATGCACTTTGAGTAGGCTACGAAATCTTATTCAATTGCTGAATTTGATTGTCATTTTCGTAAGATCAAGAGAAAGGAACACGTTGCTCAATATCTTGAACAGGTAGGGTTACATAAGTGGTCTAGAGCTCACATGGATGGACGCCGCTACAATGTAATAACAACAAATATTGCGTCAGTCCTTAGGTTTGCAAGGATGCTGCCAGTGGTTCATTTGGCAGGGGAAATTATTAATCCCCTTTTGAAATGGTTCATTGAACGTCGTGAGTTGGCTTTAAATTGCACAACAACATTGTGCCCCAAATTTGGCGAGAAGAAGTTGAGGAAGAGGTTGGAGGATGCTGCAAGGATGAATGTCGTTAAACTAAATAACCTATAGTTTAATGTTTTGGACGGTGATATGGACGGCCTCGTAGATTTGACGAACAACAATTGTAGTTGTAGAAAGTTTCAGCTTGAGCAGCTACCTTGCAAGCATGTAGTTGCAGTTTGCCGCTTCTTGAAACTAAATGTATACTCGAAGGCTTCTCGGTATTACACTCGGAATACCTGGTTGGATGCTTATTTGGATAGCATCTACCTGGTACAGGCTCACAAAATGTGGGTTATTCCTGAAGATGTTCGAAGTCGAGTTGTGCTGCCTCCCATGGCAAAAGTCATGCTAGGCAAATGGAAGAAGCTAAGAATTCCTTCGCAAGGAGAGGGCACCATTACAAGAAAATGCTCAAGGTGCGGTTCCACAGCCACAATAAAAGCACCTATAAAAAACAATATTCCACTGCGCAATGTATCTTAGACAATATGATTTGTGTTGCTTTGTTAGGTAATGTCAACTTTAATTTTATTTGTGGTGGGTTTCATGTTATGTTGAATGTGAATTTTGTTTAATTTGCTTAATTCGGGTTGCATTGCTATACATCATGCTGTGTTCCCTATTTATATTCACAGTATCGCTATCGTATTGAATTTTATTGCCTTCAGATTGTCATTATAATGTAATTTTATTGTACTGGTATTGCTATTGCAATGTAAACTGTGAGTACGAAATTAAAGGGCCTAGAATGTAACTCCAAATGGAGCAAAAACATTAAAGTTTCTTAGAATTCCATTATTACACAATTACCGTGATACTCCTACTACACCTTCTTTTCTGATTACAAATTCAAGTGATGCATGGGGCAAATGTGGGGCAAATACAAGGTGAAATGTCCTATGTGTTTGACTGGATATAGTTGCTGAAGAAGCATTACGACTGTTAACCCCAACAGATTGCTCATGTCTTGCCAAGAACACCCTTGAATTTATGCAATGTGCCCAAGCCAGTCCCAAAGCTGGACTCAGCCGTCTGCCTAATGTGTGCAGGCACTCCAAGTTTCCCAATGTCACCCCATTCACTCCATCATGTGGCCCAATAAAATCCACCACTTGGTTGGGGACAACCACCGCCAACCTAAACTTATTTGCGAAAGCCTTCAATGTCCCAGATATCTTGAAGAACATTTCAGACCGCCATTTCAATTCTGTCGATGTTGTCTGATACTGTGATCGAAACAATGCAGCAATGGAATCAATGACAATGAGTTTCACAGGTAACCGGGTGTGATCAATAGCAATAAATGCTTGTATGTCTCGAAGGACATGGATGAGTTGTTGAGCATCATGAATGCCATGAACATATATGTCTTCCAATGGCTCCAATCCTATTAAGTTGGGGTATGATGCATGATAAAGGTTGCCTAGTTGTTGCAATTGACGAAATGAGAAGCTGAATTCTGTGAATATGTATAGGGAGGAGCCCCCTAGTCCGCCATGTGAGGGTGGGAGCTGAGCTCTTACCGTAAGTTGGAGACAAAGTTGCGTCTTCCCTGAACCGCTCTCCCCTACCAATTCTATTATGGAGTTGCAGGGTATCCCACCACCCAAGCAGCCATCTAGTATTAGGCATCCGATGGATAATTTAGGGGTTGAAAGAGGAAGGAGCATGAGGTTTTGTGGTGTCATGTTTCTGTAATTTAGGGGGGAATGTCATGGTACTCCAAGGCATGAATTGTATATATAGAGTCCATATTGAAGGTGTGTAATGTAGGCCATATGTCTTTTAAGGGATGTATACTTCATCCCTTTTCCAATTTTTAATTAAATTTTTGTTTATTTATTTGTATTTTTATTGGACCAAATAATTTAAAAAACAGTCTAATGTAGTACCTACTGCAATAGAATCGTATTGTAACTCTATTGTGCTCTTATTGACATCATATTGCCATTATACACATGTGTTTTGTGGAGTTATTGCCGCTATATCGGCACTGAAATGGACATGGATAAACTGTATACGCACAAATACAAAAAGAGGCATCATAATTCCATAAAATCCAATTTCGAAACTTACATAATACAACAAGAGGCCACCTCATAGTTACATAATACAAAAAAAGGCCACCTCATAGTTCCATTTTACAGGTTGTTTCCACTACATTTTACAATGTCCAAAGTCATATTAAAGTGTCACAAGTTTCCTGCTGTTGACACATTCAGAGTTGCATACTCTTCAATTGACCCCGCCCACAGTGATGTTGTCCTAGTTTCCTTCTGGATCCACTATTTTTGAAAACTTGCAAAATAGTTTGAATCTGGTTTCCACTTGCTGTTGCTTCAACTGGGCTATTTCGTCAGATTCCTTAAATACCATAACTGCAGTGGTAGGGGCAATTTCGATTTTTGCTTTCATACCCTTTATATGTAGGAGATGCATGCGGGCATGATAACGAGAGCAAATTGTGCGCTTTTTTATGACACCCCACCTAGCTTGGCCCTCCAAAAATTTTGAAACGATGTCTACATGGAGATTTTCCCAAAACATGGTATTGCCTCGACATTGTTGCATGCCATGGACCAAGTCTGCAGTCAGTGAATTGGGTGACTTGTCTTGTGTTTTAGTCTCCCTTCCTTCAATAATTGAAAGCGTTGGGTTTGGTGTGAGGTTATGGTCCATGGTTTTGGATATTTATTGTAGGCTGGTGTGGGACTTAATTGGAGAAAAGTGGGACTAAATGCGATGTGAGTGAAATCAGTGGGGAAGGTAATGGCTGCAAGCATGAGTTAATGTGATGGAAGTCTTCTCTTCATACAGCGGGGTTGAAGTTTAATATAGGCAAGTATTAATGAGCTGAATCAGTGAGTAATTGGAGGGAGGGATTGGGGGGAGTAATTGGCAGGATTCACTAGCAGGAGTCTTTGGCGAGATAGTATTGGGCGAGAGTTATTACCCAATTGGGTGTATGACTTTTTGTAATATATTTGTATTTTCGAATTTTCGAATTTGGTAATTTTCCCATTTTATAATTTAAATAATTTGCCTAACTCGCCTAATTGGCCAACTAATTCAAATTGTCCAATATGGTAATTTTCTTATTTCCCATTTCCACAATTTCAATTCGTTTCCAATTTTCCAATTTTACTTTTTTCCTATTTCCAATATTCCTATTTTCCTATTATCCAATTATCCAATTATCCTTATTTCCTATTTCCAATTTTCCAATTTTCCAAGTTTCATTTTTTCCTATTTCCATTTTTCCTATTTTCCAATTTTCCAATTTTCCAACTGTCCTTTTTTCTTATTTTCCTATTTTCCTATTTTCCAAGTTTCATTTTTTCCTATTTCCATTTTTCCTATTTTCCAATTTTCCAATTTTCCAATTTTCCAATTTTCCAATATTCCAATATTCAAATTTTCCTTTTTTCCTATTTTCTAATTTGCCTATTTCATATTTGCCTAATTTACTTTTTCTAAGTTCCAATTTCTACGTGGAAATTTTTGTATTTTCCCAAAGTTTCATATTTTCCTATATATTTAATTTGGAATTTCCCAATTTCCTGGTTTTCTCAATTTTTGTATTTAAAGATTTTGCCTAATTTGGCAAATGTACCAACTTATTCAATTTGTCCAGTACGGTAATCCCATCAATTACAGCCAAGGAGTAAAAGATGTAGTTTGCAATCCCATCAATTTAATGCACCAACTAAATACCCAATATAATTCACACAAGTCCTACATACAACTGAAGCTTCCTATATATAACTGAAGCATAGCCACCTTCTTAACGGGAAAGGGAATTATTCTTACTGAAAGGCGAACATTCTCTAGTAAAGCTGACCATATTGTTGTTTACAAGTTTTCATAACGTCCAACTAGAGACTGAATGTACCTTTATTTGTTTTTTTGCAGACTGCAGCTATTACATTACTCCCTAGCGATACTTAAAGATGTCAGACGTAAACCCTCCAAACGACCATGTCAGTTACGCGGGAGACCAGCTGTGGCATGTGCCGTTCCCATCTCCACCTCTGACTCCCAATCACGATCCCACTTCATCTGGAAGTGAGGCTGAGAGTAATCATCCGCTTGAAAAAATCTCTGCCGTCAAGCACGACCTCCAATATTTGTTAAAGGCAACAGATTGGTGGGAGAGCAAGTGTGATATTCATGGCCAAGTTATGGAAAACCTGGTGAACAAGTTGAATAAAGCATATGCCGAAGAAGTTAAGCAAACTCTAAAAGCAATAAGTCAGAGCAAAGAGTTAGAGTCCCACAAGTTAAAATTGGAAGAGACAAAGAAAGATGTTGTCCAACAATTCACAAAATCTGAAGAATATAACCATGAAATGGTGATGGACCTCTAAAAATGAGCATTTGCCAGGTTTTGTGCGGCTGGGTAAGGGTCACTACTGGTTCGGTTGATGTTGTGCTGGGTGATGCGATGCGATGCGAAAGTGTTGCCTTCGTTTTCCCTTCGCGGGATAGTATTGTTAGGGTTTGGTGGCGATTTCTTTTGCATGTGTAAAATGTAGTATGAAATGTCTGCATATTGTATGGTGTTGGTAATTTTTAACAACAATATTAAAACCTTGCAAGTGCACAAATCAAATGATAGTATAGTAAGCAAGCAAGGGTCGTTCCCACAGAGATTGTAATCTAAAGAGATGTTGATCAATGTCACACAAAGAAAACTAGAACACAATTAAACACGAAAACAAAATAAAGATTGAAATCACAAGGACTTCCACACACATGCCAACACCAAAGGGATTTTGATTTGATTTTGTAAATAAAACAAAACAAGAAAAAGAAAACAAAATAGAATTTAAATTAGAGTTTAAGAGAAATTGGTTTAAAATCAGTCAAGAACAATAGCTATGACTCACTATCCCTCTCCAAACAATCAATCAATCCATAAACAACAATAGATAATCAATTTCAAGCAAGGATATGATGACGACACTCACAACAAGATCATGGCATTTGACTAGAGTTGTATGATTCTCTCTTAAGTGTATGTAAAGTGTGTGACATTTACTCAAATTAACAACCAAGAATCCATTAAGATCAAAGAGAATATGAGTGTCACAAAATCCCTAAAACATGGCATTTGTTATTAGGAATTCAAGAATCGATTTCTCATAACTAGTTCTTAACACAATTATTCATTGCAAACAAGAACACATTCAATATAGCAATTGACCTATGTTCTACAACAATTTAATTCCAATACATGCTTCAAAGTTAGCTACTAAAAGGAACAAAATATCAGAATTCAAATAACATAGAGAATCCGAAATCATCACGCTTGTAGAAACTGAAAAATCCATTCAAGCTTGTTTATAGAATTGAAATCATGTTTAGGGCTTCAAGATTAAGCCCTAACTAACAAGAAATTATTTACTCATGTTCTTGGATGAACTAAAAAATAAATACATAAGAACTGAAAATTAAAAGAAGAAAGGAAAAGAAAGAACTCGCGGGCAGCTTTCTCTTCTTGCACGGTTGATCTCCTTAGGACGTGAATCCATTGTATGGGACCTTGGCTGGCCTTTTATATGACTTATATCAAATTCCTAAACCCTACAATTGACTGAAAAGTCGTCCAAGAAGTCTTGGTAAACAAGGAATCCAAATAGGAAAGTAAAAATCACAATTCCTAACTCCACAGGGAAATAAAGCTCAGCCCAATTGTCACACGATTTGGAGATCTTCGGCCCTCTAGAAAAATCAGTAAAAATATATTTTAAAAAGATAAATGTCTTATATTTCGAACCATATATAGCACGTAACTTGAAAAATTCTGGAAGGCTTCTGTTTCTTCACATTCACATAACATGTACGAAACTGTCCTGTCTGTACATGGGCTAACTTTACTTGTAATACTGTACCAATTGGCCCGGTAGAAAATTCTAGAAAAATTACAGATTGAACTTCAAGGTGTTAGCTTTCATCTCCAGTTGGCCTTGCACTAAAATTCTTCCGAAAACGGAAAAATCATCCATAAATACCTCTATTATCTCCTCCACCATATCATAAAAAATTGACATCATGCAACGTTGAAAAGTGGCAAGTGTGTTACATAAACCAAAAGGCATACACCTATAAGCAAACGTACCAAATGGACAGGTGAAGGTGGTCTTTTCTTGATCTTCCGGAGCAATGGCAATTTGATTGTATCCAGAGTATCCATCCAAGAAGCAATAATGACTATGACCTGCAAGACGCTCAAGCATTTGATCAATAAATGGTAATGGAAAGTGATCCTTACGTGTCGTAGTATTAAGCTTTCTATAATCTATGCATACTCTCCAACCCATTTGAATTCTTTGAGGCATCAACTCATTATCTTCATTCTTCACAACAGTAATTCCAGATTTCTTGGGAACAACTTGGATGGGACTCACCCACTTGCTATCCGAAATGGGGTATATAATTCCCACGTCCAAAAGCTTCAAAACTTCCTTCTTAACGACTTCTTTCATCACCGGATTCAACCTCCTTTGAGCTTCCCTTGTAGGTTTCGATTCTTCGTCTAAATGGATCCTATGCATGCACTTTGTAGGGCTTATTCATTTGATGTCTGCAATGGTTCAACCTAGGGCAGTCTTGTGCTCTCCCTTAGAACTCGAATTAGTTTGTGTTCTTTGGATGCACTCAAATTAGAAGCAATGATCACAGACAGCGTCTTTTCATCACCTAAATATGCATATTTCAAGTTCTTCGGAAGGGGTTTTAGCTCAACCTGTGGTGCCTTCACAATAGAGGGAACAAGCTTAGTAGTAGATAACGGAAGAGGCTCAAAAATAGAGTTAGACTTACCTCTTTGGGGAGGCAAGGCCTCAAGCATATTCACGGCTTCAAGTACAGTTGTGTTCCCTTCTTTGTTCACAGTTTTGGGGCCTTGGATGAGTGCCCTCTCCAATGGCGTCTCTCCTTGTGATGCATTAAACGTTTCTTGTACCATCTGCTCAAGTACATCTATGGAAAAACAAGCATGATCATCATTAGGATATTTTAAAGCATCAAATACCTTAAACTCTACGGTTTCCTCATCGAATGCCATTGTGAGAGTGCCTTTATACACATCGATTTTTGTCCTTGCTGTTCTCATGAATGGACGTCCTAGAATCACTGGAAGTTCTTTTCCAAGAATAGGAACTTCCTCCATCTCGAGCACTAGAAAGTCAGCTGGAAAAATGATCTCATTCACCTTGACCAAAACATCTTCCAACACTCCCTTAGGATACTTGATTGATCGATCAGCCAATTGTATGCTCACGGAAGTCTTCTTAAGCTCACCTAAATTTAAAGATTCAAAAACAGAAAAAGGCATCAAATTAATTGAAGCACCTAAGTCTAATAAAGCATGTTCAAACCTTTGATTTCCAATGAGACAAGGTATAGAGAGACAAGGTATAGTAAAACTCCCTGGATCTTTTACTTTAGGAGGCAATTTACGCAATAGCACGGCCGAGACTTCTTCACTTAAGGCCATGCTTTCATGCTCCTTGAACTTCCTCTTATTTGTGCAAAGTTCTTTAAGGAATTTTGCATAGCTTGGAATTTGCTTGATTGCATCAAGCAAGGGAATGTTCACTTGCACTTTTCGGAAAGTCTCTAGGATATCCTTTGAAACTTGCTCCTTCTTTGAATTTAAAAACCTACGAGGAAAAGGAACCTTTGAAGTAATCGAATGATTCACGAGAGAACTTACATTAGAGTTGTCACTTGGAACCGTAAGCTTGGGAGAGGGGGCAGCCACAGTTTTGGTTGAATTTCTCTCCTAGTTGTCATCCTTTTCCACCTTTTTTCCACTTCGAAGAGTAATCGCCTTTGCAGTTTCATGGCCTCCATTTGGATTTGGAATTACTTGGCTTGGAAGCTTTCCTGGCTCTCTTTGACTCAAGGAGGTTGCAATTTGTCCAACTTGGTTTTCAAGGCTCTTGATTGCTGTAGACATTTGTGCATGTGTTTGCCTTGTTTCCTGCATGAAACCTTGATTGCTTAATGCCAAAGAATTAATTAACTCTTCTAAAGACTTACCTTGCCTAGGAGGTGGTGGTGGTGCATTTTGTTGAACCAGGGTTGTTTGCACGTTTTGGTTGTTCTTCCACCCAAAGTTAGGAGGTTGCCGCCATCCCGGATTATAGGTGTTAGAAAATGGATCGTTTCTTGGCTTTTGTTGCTGCATATAGTGTGCTTGAGCCATCTCTTCTCCATCACCATACAAACTTGGACACGACTCCGTAGGATGTCCGAGATTAGCACACACAGCACACACTTGTGCTTGAGGGATTAACTGCTTAACAAGATGAGTCAAATTAGCTATTTGAGGACCAATATCACTAGCACTTACCTCATAAACACTTGCTTTCTTTGGGGGAGCTCTCCGGTAATTAAACTGTTGAGAGTTTGCTGTAATGTTCTCAAACATCTCCTTAGCTTGAGTAGCACTCTTGTTCATCAAGCCTCCTCCACTAGTAGCATCAACCATCATCCTCTCCGAATCGAGTAATCCCTCATAAAAGTATTGCATAAGTAGGCAATCTTCAATTTGGTGATGAGGGAACGAAGCTAGGAGTCTCAGAAACTGATCCCAATATTCATGAAATGATTCTCCATCTAGTTGCTGCACTCCCATGATCTCCTTCCTAATATGGTTTGTCTTTTGAGCTGGAAAGAACTTTGCAAGGAACTTGGAAGCCACTGTTGTCCATGTGGTGATAGATGCACTAGGTAAAGAATAGACACTCCTTGGCTCGTTCCTTGAGTGAGAATGGAAACAAACGCAATCTGATTGCCTCATCACTAATCCCTCTATTGTGCATAGTCGCGCACACGGCAAATAAATCCTTGATATGTATGTGAGGATCATCCCCAGCCTTGCCATAGAATTGCGGCAAAAGGTGAATGGTGACACTCTTGATCTCAAAGGTGGTTGTAGTGGCTGGATACGCAATGCAAGATGGCTGGTCCAATGCTTTAGGAACCGTGAAATCCTTCAAAGGTCGGGTGAGGTTGTTGAGTCCCAACTCGTTTCCCATCATGATTGGAAGTGTAGCTTGGGTATTTTTATCTCGACGGAGATAATGACGTGTGTTCTCTAGTTCAAGGTCATATGGTATAAGCTTGTAACCTTGCGAACGACGACCCAGCATATACCTGAAATTGAAAGCAAAACTCAATTAAATTAACAGTCCCCGGCAGCGGCGCCAAAAACTTGTTGGTAATTTTTAACAACAATATTAAAACCTTGCAAGTGCACAAATTAAATGATAGTATAGTAAGCAAGCAAGGGTCGTTCCCACAGAGATTCTAATCTAAAGAGATGTTTATCAATGTCACAGAAAGAAAACTAGAACAGAATTAAACACAAAAACAAAATAAAGATTGAAATTACAAGGACTTCCACACACACACCAACACCAAAGGGGTTTTGATGATTTGATTTTGTAAATAAAACAAAACAAGAAAAAGAAAACAAAACAGAATTTAAATTAGAGTTTAAGAGAAATTGGTTTAAAATAAGTCAAGAACAATAGCTAGGACTCACTATCCACCTCCAAACAATCAATCAATCCATAAACAACAATAGATAATCAATTTCTAGCAAGCATATGATGACGACACTCACAACAAGATCATGGCATTTGACTAGAGTTGTATGATTCTCTCTTAAGTGTATCTAAAGTGTATGGCATTTACATCAATACGTGTATTCTTAATTGAAATCCAGTATGGCATTTTCTCAAATTAACAATCAAGAATCCATTAAGATCAAAGAGAATATGAGTGTCACAAAAACCCTAAAACATGGCATTTGTTATTAGGAATTCAAGAATCGATTTCTCATAACTAGTTCTTAACACAATTATTTGTTGCAAACAAGAACACAATCAATATGGCAATTGACCTATGTTCTACAACAATTTAATTCCGATACATGCTTCAAAGTTAGCTACTAAAAGGAACAAAATATCAGAATTCACATAACATAGAGAAACCGAAATCATCACGCTTGTAGAAACTAAAAAATCCATTCAAACTTGTTTATAGAATTGAAATCATGTTTAGGGCTTCAAGATTAAGCCCTAACTAACAAGAAATTAGTTACTCATGTTCTGGGATGAACTCAAAAATAAATACATAAGAACTGAAAATTAAAAGAAGAAAGGAAAAGAAAGAACTCGCTGGCAGCTTTTTCCTCTTGCGCGGTTGATCTCCTTCGGACGTGAATCCTCTGTATGGGGCCTTGGCTGGCCTTTTATATGACTTAAATCAAAGTCCTAAACCCTAAAATTTACTGAAAAGTCGTCCAAGAAGTCTTGGTAAACAAGGAATCCAAATAGGAAAGTAAAGATCACAATTCCTAACTCCACAGGGAAATACAGCTCAGCCCAATTGTCACACGATTTGGGGATCTTCGGCCTTCTAGAAAAAGCAGGAAAAATATATTTTAGAAAGATAAATGTCTTATATTTCCAACCATATATAGCACGTAACTTGGAAAATTCGGGAAGGCTTCCGTTTCTTCATATTCACGTAACATGTACGAAACTGTCCTGTCTGCACGTGGGCTAACGTTACTTGTAATACTGTACCAATTGGCTCGGTAGAAAATTCTGGAAAAATCACAGATTCAACTTCAAGGTGTTAGCTTTCATCCCCAATTGACCTTGCACTAAAATTCCTCCGAAAAGTTGATTTTCCCTTAAAAACCTTCCAAGAGCGCAGAAAAGCTGAAAATCAGAAAAGTGAAGTAATAAGCCCTTTTTAAATCTAATTTTTCTACAAACCTAAGTAAAAAGAGTACATAAATGAGTATATTTATGGACTTATCATGTGTAGAGTGACCTAATATTGCAATCCGATTGTGTGTGTATTGTATTAATATTGCGACTATAATATCTATATATTGTAATCATATTGCTACCCTATTACAAGTAAATTGGCTTACTATTGCTATCCTATTGTTAGTATATTGTCCAAATATTGCTACTCTAGTGCACGTATATTGGGCTAATATTTCTATTCTATTGATGTATATTGACTAGGGGTCCTTAATGAGTTTTGGGTTTAGGCTACTTCATTCGAAAAGAAGAACAAGAGGAGAAAGAAACAACGTGCCTTTGAAAAGAAGAACACGTTGTAAGAAATAATTTTTAAAAAAAAAACTATGACAAAATTATTTACAAAAAAAAGTATGGTATCAATAAATATGCAAATGCTTGATGATGGGTTAAAGAAAAGCATGTTTATATTTGGTGGTCTGATTATGTTTGGTGATATGATATGTTGTTTGTCTTATTCTTCGTATATGTAATTGTTGTATTAATAATTTACACAACTTAATCCCCTAATCATCCAATTATAAATTATAAATTAGTAATGAGTAAAGAAAATTATATGAAATCAAACAAAACAAGAACCCCAAAATAAACACGAACATCAATTTCTAGCACCCTTTTATCTCCACTGTATCGTTACTGTATCACAGTGGTAGCACCAATTTATCACATTTTAGGCATAAACAAATTAAACACTTCCTCTGTTTTTCAGTTTTGCCATATGTCCATTTTTTGACCTTTAACTTTTCAATCGATTATGCAAATTTTGTGTTCTGTTTATAGTTGGACTCAGCATAGAAAAATGAAGAAAACTACATGGACCAAATGTAAAAAATTGATATAAAAAAAAAGAGTAGAATTCAGTGGAGACAAACACAACATTTCAAACAAGTAAACTATTATACCTCCATAAAGAGCAAGTATGTTTATATATCCAGCTGTACGAAATAGTTCAACTTCACAATCTACAACCTAAGTATGCTAACCACGATGGAAACTCCAAAACAAAACCCCAATTTAAACACAAACAGAGAAATACATCCCTAGTGGTATTCATTAGACGTACAACCCAATTTGTTTTGACAAAATTAAAATTGATGCATATTCCACATTGACTACAATTGATCTCCCATGTTTACAATTGGGAAACAGTATAGGGTTTAGGGTAAGGGAATTAGCCACCGCCACCAACACTATGGATCACCATAAAAAGCACCTCCACCACAGCTTCCATGTCTGCATATTCATATAAAGGATTTCCTGAAAGAATTAAGGAGCAGAGTGAATTCCAAAGTGATAAATGAAGACTCAATTGAGAAACATTACCACATTTACCTCATATATGCCCGTCCCCCCTTAAAGCCTCTACGGCAAGCTTCAGACAGTAATAGATGATCTTCTATGGGTCAATTTTATCCAACGAAATGTGCACACTCAGATGCTCGATGAATTTCATGGTTAGGATTCTGCAAGAGGTGCTTTCGGGGCAATAAGTTCAGAAATTAGAACTATAGTAATGTACAATATTGATAAATTGAACTAAATTAACATAGCTTACCCATCACGTTGTTGTGGGACATCTCCAAAGCTATAAACTGTGAATGGCGTAAACACGGACATCGTCATCCCCTTTTGCTTAACCTCTTCAACCTCAGAAGCGTCATAAAAGCGCATATCATACAGCACCCGTGCGAGAGTTTCGCTAATAGGCTTCAGAAATTTGACCAGCTTCAAAGTTGAGGTAAAAGAAATGTAAGAGTCATACACAATCGCTATATGTCTAACGAAGTCAATTTCTATGGCCACCCAATGGGACCCTTGAAGGTTATATGGAAAATACACCCTCTGGACTTTGGTCCAAGCTTGCGCATACCCATGCTGCCATGTACCACGCATAAAGTGATCTATCTTCTTCTAGTAGCTGGGTGGAAGGTCAACGGTCTTAGGAGCAGCGGCTTTCTTGGATCCTCGTTTCTTTGGAGGGGCTTTGACTGGCTTTAGAAATTGCTGCAAACATTGAATATAAGGCATATTACATAACGACAAACCAATGCAATTGAAACAATTAATTTAACATGTACACATGTTTACCTGCAAATAATAATCTGCAGTTGTCCAGTCAGTTCCAAATACTGATGTAATAAACCGATCCTAATTAATATTAATTATTAATTTATTCAAGTAAAAAGACGATATTACCCAGAATATTTTAATAGATTTAAAAGTTGACTTTTTGTTTGGAAAGGTATTTGGGAATAACAGTTACACTATTGCGTAGAGCACGTCGAGATGAGTCCGTAGACACGTAGTGGGCTCAAATCCGAGTTGTAACGAGAGAGATACGATCAAAATTGTAATTTTTCAAAATTGATTTTAAAAATCAGAATTCTCTCTCTCTCTCTCTCTCTCTCTAGCGAGCCGGCCCCTCCCCTTCCAGTCAAGCCCAGCCGTCGAAATTGCCGGAATCTGCTGGATTTGGCAGAAAACCAGCTAGATTTCATGACAAATTCCCGAAGCTCGTTTTCCCTCCTCTGGCCACCGTTTCCGACGAGTGAGGTATGGATTCTCATCTATTCTTCAAGCTCTAGCTGCTAGTTGTGTTAGTTTTGAGAAATTTCTGTGTTTTGGTAGTCGGTTAAGCGATGGAAGTTTGGCCGGTTTTCAGCCTCCGATTCCGGCCACTTCCAGTTGTTTTTCGAGGTAGAACAAAAGTGGCTCCAATCAATGTCCTAAACCTAGGGTAGGAATCTTGGCCCTTAATTTTGAGATTTTCTGGCGAGTGGTGGCGGCTTGT